TACTACTGGTGATGGTGCATGACAAAGAAATAATTCATCTTGACTCTCAGATCCTAGGGTGAATTTTCCAGGCTGGCAGCCTGAAACCCACCTCTATCTTTTTTACTTCTAAGCTGAGGAAATTTGATCAGGTACCATTTAGAGACCATAAAAAAGCACCCACTCTTCTACAGAGAATGGCATTTTAACAGATCTGCTCTTCAGAGTAGAACCCAACTTTAAAAAGTTAAGAGAAGGGCATCAGAAAACTTTTAAGAAATCTTTCTCTCTCTCATCAGTAATGTTTTATGACCTTTTTAGGGAATTAATTGCAAAGGAAAGACAGTGGTATATACTGGAGCTTATGTGATTTGCTTGCAGAAACTTAAAGACTACATCAAATACATCTTTATTAAAATAATAGGTTAACAAAATTAGTAAGCATACTCCAAATTTATTTGGTAAATCTACAGAACTGTTGCTTCTTTCCCTTTTGCTCTTCAACTTTTGTAGCAATGTAAATGTGGGGCCTGATCATAGGAGGTATCGAGCACGCATATATCCTATCGTCATCAAGTGGAATTGCAGGACGATAACCTCCACTCAGAATCCAGCTTTGCACTTTGCTACCTAGGAGGTAGAATTGCAAGCTCGGGCAGTTAGAGAGCTGCAGTACAGCAAAGGTATCACGTTCTGTGGAAGGTGAGTTAAACATCAAAATTGAAAATAATTTACATGTATCTTTATTACCTTTGGATTGTTCATTCTGTTTTCTTTCTCAGAGCTTCTTGTTGCTAAGCCACCTCTGTGTATTTAAAACCTCCCGTCTATCATAACTAATCTACGCTTTCTGCTTGTTCCAATAGTTAAAACAGTAAATGATGATGGTGGCAGAAATGGAAGTTTCAGGTATTAATTGCATGGAATTGCAAGAAGAGATTAGCTTTACAGATAGACTCCCATGTTCATGCAAATTAAAAAATAAATAAATAAAAGGGCACATCCATATCACCTTTGGTTGTGATTGCATCAGCTCTCACAAACCTAAGCAGGTTTGGGAATCAGAATGTAAGGCGGAAGATTTCCAAGGAAAACCCAGATTCTGTAGGAAGAGATATTGGTGATTCAACAAATAGCATTCTTCTAAGTACTAAACCAGTGTCCTAGCATGAAGTTAGGGAACACAGTTCTGGTGATGGTGCCATCTTTTGAATATGGTGTAAAAATAAGGTCCTGACTTCATGTGGCTGTGAAGGATCCCAGAGGTCTGTTTACTCTTATGTCTTCACCAAATTCCAGTATGAACAATTACCTATTGCTTCCCTAAGTTCCCCTGGAGTTTCAAATAAGTTCAATGTTGTTCTTCATTTCCTATCCTAAACTTCTATGGAGAGTGGCTGTGCTTGGTTAAAGTTACCACATTTTACCCCATATAAAGGTATGTTTCTGTAATTTAAGTTTTTCTTTCACGTAGATACTAGCATTCATGGGAGCAAGGAGTTCGGGGTAGAAATACCCAGATTCTGCACTGTGAGAAGTAAAGTAATATTTTAATTAACAAAATGCAGTGGTAAACAGAATCTCTCCTTTATATTCCCAGCCTGTTCCTTCTCCTCTCTGATGATCAATGATTCTGCACTCCATTGTTTACAACATCACAATTCACCAAGTGGTAAGCAATTATGATGCTCCAAGCATCAGTCCATAACATCACTAAATGAGCGAGGCAGGAGGAGGCAAGATTGAGAGGGCTTTTATTTGACTACACATCTTGATGATAAGCAGTGACTGGAAAAGATATCCTGAAAAGGTACATATAGCTAAATAATATTTTTAAAATTATTTAAAATCTTGCTTCTTTTTGCCTGGCTCATATAGTGATGCTATGGCCTGATGCTTGGAGCATCATAATTGTTTACCACTTGGTGAATTGTGATGTTGTAAACAATATATATATAGTGCTGGCCCAAGTTAAGCGTGGATTCTGTAAGGACTTTATCCTGCTCCTCTTCAGGTCTATGGAAAGATTCCCATTGACTTGAATGGTGCAGGATCAAGAGCTAAGAAAGTAGGTTTCTTGTTGCATATGTAATTTAGAGATGACCCAGGATTTAGACTGAGTAGGTTTACAGTGCTGGGTAAGCACCCTTATTCTCCTACTTTCTCTCTTCCAGCTGGTGTAGTGATTAGCAAATGATGTGGAGTCAGGATTCCTGCCTTCTACTCTCATCTCTGCCACTAATTCCTGAGCAATCTTGGGCAAATCACTTTACTTCCCTGTGCTTCATCTTACCCATTTAAAAGTGGTAATAATAATGTTTATGTACCTCACCAGGATGTTGAAGCTTAATTCATTTATGTGTGTAAAGTGCTTGAGATCCTTGCTTTTAAAGTATGATCTAAGTGCATTCTCTCTTCTCCCTTCCCTTTTCCTGTCTCTTTACTTCCTGCTTGCCCCTATTATCCATCCGTCCATGTCTTTTTCAGACTCTTGATATTTATTTTTTTAGGTCTTTAAATATAGAACATTGGTATCAATTCCCGACTTGTCCACAGCTCCAAGCTGTCTAATATGTAGTTATTTAGTGGCTTGTAATTTTCCACTGGCTTTACTTCTCAGCACCAGATCACTGCGGTATACAGTAAGCTCCTTGGTGCCAAAGTACTGGGTGAACCCAGGCAGGTGCAGTTGATTAAACTGACTGAAATGTCCTCGAAGCAATTTTGGATGGTTTCCAACCAATCCATGTCTAGTGTAAACAAGAGACATAATCTGTCTGCGTGTGGAACAGGCCAACAACATTCTAGTGCAGGCTCACGCAAACGCAGTAGATGAAACAGTATCTCACGTCATATTCAGGAGAGCATATTTGCAGATGTGACTTCCAACACACAGTGATATGAAGAGTTGTCTATAAATATCTTTCCTTTTAAAAAATACACATGGGTATATTTTGCAAATGTTAATACTGTTGAAAGATACAGGCTGAAGACACTGTATACAGCATGTCCTCATGCCATATATTCTAGGTTAGTGCACATCAGTTCTAGTTAGCAACACTAGTCTTTTAGTAGCTGCAGATTAAAAAGGATGCTAACAGTGCAGAAGTTGTGTAATGTGAACAAATGTACATTATAGGTTGATTCAAGATATCAGCAAACTAATTTAACTTGTGACTGCTTGTAAACCAGGCTTGAATTTAGGACAGCAGAGGAAGAAAGCAACTCCATTTACCTGGTCTAACATAAAGTATGGTGCTTTTTTCACTTAGTAATAAATCAAAGACTTAATTTTAATGTAGATTATGCATAACAAGAAAATCAACTGTATTTTGTAACTTCTTTCCCCCCTTCTAGCTATATCTCTAGTCTATAATTATCTGAATCATCATGGCTCACAGGACATGTTGACAAAGGAGCTGTAGCAATTTTTGTAATACTAACAGTGTTGCCTGTTAATATAAAAGGGAGTCAGGTTTAAAGAACAATTTTGGCATTGTTACTGCAAAAAGCAAGATTTAGTCCATAATAAAGAACATAAGCAGTTTGTGGTGCCAAACAATATCCCCCTGAGCCCACAAATTTAATATTTTACATTTATACTGACTTCCACCCATGTATGTCAAGGCACTTTTACAAATATTGAGTCATGCACTTGGGAGGAAAGAAGGGTGAGATGAGAGGTATTATACCTTTCTTTACAGAGGGAGAAACAAACACAAAAAGTTGTTTCTTGACCAAGATAACAGGCTTCCTAGGTATATGTCACAACCAAAAATTGTAGCCTATTTCCTGCGTCTAGTGCTGTGATGTAAGTCATTCCTCTTTGCATCAACACAACCACACTGGTGTTGGCCTTAGGACCTAACAATCTTCCTACTGATGTTTGACTTCTTAGGGCTAGGTTTTAAAAGAGCTCAGCATAATGGGAGATGCTGGGTACTTTAAAAAAAAAATCTAATCTCAGTTGTGTGTACTGAGCACTTGAAAAACTGGCCCTTAGTTTTGCTATCAAGGAAACCTCCAAGTAAGTCTTTGTGTATACACTGGACCACAAGTGGCAATATCCACCTCTTCCTTTTTTAATATCTTTCCTTTCATACAGTGCCACCAATCTTGTCTGAGTTAACCTCTTGCTTCCTCCCCAAACCTGGAAGGATCATAAGCCAGGTGTGACTTTGGTTTAGCAGTGTTTATATTACAAAGACAGTGCTTTCTAAAATGTGAGATTTCACAGTACAAGGCTGCATCTTATCTGTGTTTCTTAACTATGTGAATCACCAGGCTCGTCATGCCCCCCCCCCCCATACAAATCTTTGACGTGCCACACTACACTCGCAGCTCTAGCACGTTTATGATTTTCTTCTAGCCTCTGTCAGCTGCAGATAAAATTCCAGCTGGGCCAATGATTTTAAAATCAGCCTGGGATGAAAACGCTTGCCCCATGCACGGCAGCTAGTTCAGGCTTCGGAAAGGTGTCCCGTAGTTACTTGGTCTTAACATCAACTTTGTGTGTGCGTGAAAGCAGGGTCTTGTTGTGTAGAGTTTCCATGACTTCTTGTCATTCAGCGAGGAGGAGGAAGGCAGCACTTGGAAAACACATGTATGTGATGGGCATTTCAAAAACTAGAGCCAGGGCAGAGTCTCCCCGCTGAGTATGCAGCGCACTGCGCCAATGGTCCAGCAGGCTCCAGCCAGCACAAATCCTTAACGCTGGAGTTCAGTAACGCCAGCTGCCGCTCCTGCCTCCGCAGTACCCCACTATCACTCCCCCAAGACTCAGGGGCACCCAGCTATCCCCCCAGCCCCCTACATAGCCGCCCCCCCCGTTGGAGGCACCTAGCTCTCCGCCCGCGCCCCCCTTGGGGGTGCCCAGCTACTCCCCTCCCCCACAGCCCCACCTCAGGGACGGAGATGGGGCGGGGCGAGGGCACGTTGGCGGGCGGGGCTGAGCGTCGTGGCGCAGGGGGCGGGGCGAGGGCACGTTCGGGGGGGGGCGGAGCCTGTGGCGCCGGCGTCGGGCGGCCGGGGGCGGTGCGGGGGCGCGCCGAGCGGGCTGGAGCCGAGCGAGCCGGCCGGGGTGCTCCCCTCTCCCGGTGGCGAGGGTGCGGGCCGCTGCCTGCGCGCGGCGGGGTGAGCCCCGGGCTGCGAGTGGGAGCAGGGAGACGGGGCGGGCGGCGGCGGGCTGGTGCGTGGCCCCCTCGCGTAGCGCGGGGACTGGTGCGTGTGGCCGCAGAGAGCGCGTGTGTAGACGCGCTGGGGGGCGGCGGGGGTGCGTGTGGCAGGGCCTGAGGTGTGAGAGGTCGGGTCCCTCCGGGTCGGTCCTGCGGGTGGTGGGGGGAGTTTACTGCTCCTCGTGGCAGCAGTTCAGTGACCAGCTGGACAAGTGTCCCCAAAGCGGGGGGTGGGGGCAGGCAGAGGTAGGTCCAGTTTCCCTGGTCGCAGTAATTCCTTGCCCGCGTAGCTCACAGCAGGTGCGGAACAGGAGGGGACAGGCGCTGGACATGCCTGGTCTCTGGCTGGGTCAAAGCGGGGCAAGGTGGATTTCCCTGACGCTGCGGTGGGCTCGCCTCCTCTGCATTCTGCTGCTGGGCTGTCTCTCCAGTTAGGTTTATTGATGAATTGCTGAGCCACGTTTTTTAAAAAATGAACACCCCACGAACACTCTCTCCTCTCTTTGTCCTCCCACCCTATGCAAGAGACTGGGCCGTGAAATGGGCTACCCGGCGTGTGTCGGGTCACAGCCCCGGAGTCCCCGTGCACTTCGGTTTCCGTAATTTTACGGGCGTGCTGGGTAGAGCTGGGGGAAAGGTTTTGGGAAAATTGTTTATTGAATGAAAAACGACGTTTTGGTCAATGTGAAACTAATTGTTCATGAATTCCACACGCACAGTCTTGGCTGTTAAAAGCAGCCAGGGGAGAAGGAAGTGGTGGTGGTGGTGGTGATGCTGCAGTCCCTTTCTAACATTCTGACCTTTTAGTCGAGAAGTTAGGGCACACATCTGGGATGTTGGAGACCCAGGTTCAAATATCAGTTCTGGAACAGGCCCAAAACCAATAAATTGAAAATTCTGAAAAAATTCAGATTTGGTATGACCCAAAGGAAACTTTTTTTTGTTTTTGGAGCTGCCACTAAACACAAACAAACAAACAAAAACAAAAAATCAGTTATTTGTTTAGCTTTAATAGTGAGACATACAAGTATTAATATATTAAATTCCACTAAGTATCTTTCTAAGACAGGACTCACTCTGATAATGAGGTTTTATACAGTGTGTCTAATCATATTGTTAGAGCAGCAGATTATGTGTGGGCAACCCTGCCTCCTGTGGTCTCATTTTCCTTTGGTTGCAGGCTGTAAAACAGGTTAAGAATAGCTGAACTTATTCTAATTTGATTGTAGAGTTGCCATTTATGAAGGGACACATACATGTGTGTGGGAGAGGTTGGTGGGAATTTACTAAGGCAGAAAGTGTGGTATTAGAGTGATCAGGGTTTTATTACTTGGTGGTCTGTATTTCAGCTCACTTTAGAGACCATCCAAGAAACAGTGACTTATTTCTAGGAAACAAAGCAGGCAAACTCTCTTCATCTGTAAAAAGAAAAGGAGTACTAGTGGCACCTTAGAGACTAGCCAATTTATTTGAGCATAAGCTTTTGTGAGCTACAGCTCACTTCATTGGATGGTTAGTCTCTAATGTGCCACAAGTACTCCTTTTCTTTTTGCGAATACAGATTAACACGGCTGCTACTCTGAAACCTCTCTTCCTTTATAATTAATCTCTTCTCTAGCTCTAAATGGCCAATAACTTTCGACCTAAGGAATATTGTTTCCCTTATATAATGTGGCTTGCATTTTGGGGTAAATATATTACAATGTGCTCTGTTTACGTCAGTGTATGCATTTTGAGATCTTTGCGTAGCTTCCCCCAATTTATACAAATTTTACAAATTGCTAAAGTGAAGGGATTGGGGGAGTTTCAGGGAACATGTCATACTGTAGGTAAAGTAGTAGGTTTAAAGCATCAGGCTAGATTTCATATTAAAGAGGACACTTTTTAAATTTGAGAAAGTATTATTCCTTGCTACTTTATAAACCCTTTCAGGCTGCATAGATTTCGCCTTCCCATGTTTACATTGAGTATGTAGTAATGTAACATAAGATACTACTATGACAGGTTTCAGAGTAACAGCCGTGTTAGTCTGTATTTGCAAAAAGAAAAGGAGTACTTGTGGCACCTTAGAAACGAACCAATTTATTTGAGCATAAGCTTTCGTGAGTTACAGCTCACTTCATGGGATGTTCCGATGACGATGGCTGTAACTCACGAAAGCTTATGCTCAAATAAATTGGTTAGTCTCTAAGGTGCCACAAGTACTCCTTTTCTTTTTGAAGATACTACTATGTAATTCTTATACTTTATTGGATTTGATATGCACTTGGCTCTTGAAACATTATCATGTGTCTGACCTCTGCTACGTAGAAACTGCTGGCTGCTGTTACTTAAAATATTTGCTGTGTACAATACTGTTATCTAACTCTAGAGACCTATGTGTAGCAGCATTTAAATATTACTTGTGTGCATTTTCTTTGCCCAACTGATTTCTGTTGGATTTTTGAGAGGAGGAGATGAACGGCAGTTTAAAGCAACATTGTTAAGGTTGGCAGGCCCAAAGCTTACAAAATTTTTCTGAACTTCTCAGCTACCCAAAATGAAATATTTTATTAAGATTTTTTTAAAAAAGTGAATGTACAGAGTTTAAGTGTAGAAGTTTCTGATTATCAGGGAATAATATAAAGATTATCAAGAGGTGAGAAGTTCTGTTTAAAAGTGGATGGTGTAAGGAATACATAATCTCCAATACCCCGATTGGGGGTAAAAGGTTAACGGGTCAAAGTACAGACATTGAGATATGAGGTACTACATTGCAAGAAGGCCCAGCTTCTTGGCCTGGAAACCAGTTAACATCCAAGGTGTTGAGTTTTCACATGATGGCTTTCTGCACTGTACTTTTCCCTCTATTCTTCAGAGAGCAGGCAGGATTTTCAAGAATCTTGCTCTCTGAAGTGCTTGGATATCCTGCCTGCTCACAATAGAAGAATTCTTAGGCAAAGGGATGGTTCATTGTGTACACTTGCCATCACAAATAAAAGCACATGTAGTAAGTTTTGCCTGAAAAATCTCTAGCACCATTCTAATGTATCTCCTAACCAATTTCCCCCTTATAAATGCTTTCAGTTCCCCACCTTTCCAGAGGCCCACATCCAACAGGTACTTTTGAACCTTTAGGATAAAAGATTGTCAACTACAGAAGCACTGGTGCACCAAAAATCTCACTCTTCAGTGTAAAGACTAGGTCTTCTACCTGACCCTCCTTTGATTTGCAAAGACACTGTTCTTGTTCTTAACCTGCAAAGGTTAGGAAATCCATGCTTGCTTTTCAACGTTCAAGGCTCTCCTGTAGCCACCTGATGACTCCTTAATTCTTCCTATCATATGCAATGATATTTCCCATTGTCCTTTGAAAACTTTCTTCAGCCACAACTTACATTGTGACAGCAGTTCTTTCCTCATTTCCTCAACTGTCCCTCAAAGTCTTTAAACCACGATTTGAGGACTTCAGTAGCTCAGACGTAGGTTAGAGGTTTGTTACCGGAGTGGGTGGGTGAGATTCTGTGTCCTGCGTTGTGCAGGAGGTCAGACTAGATGATCATAATGGTCCCTTCTGACCTTAAAGTCTACGATTCTACAGACCCCCAACTTTCTGATCCTACCAACATCTTTCACTCCAGACTTTATAGGCCATCATGATGATGTAAATATGAGATTTGCTTTTCTATCATGTTCTTGATGGTTATAAAGCAGCCTCCCTTTTAAAATGTGTTCTGACTTATTTGCCCTTATTGGCTGCTGATAAATGTCTTTAATGGTGAGTCCACTTCAGATCTAAGTTGATAACATGGCAGCCAGCAATGAACTGTGCTTGGTGCTGAAGGAGAAAAGGTTTTTACTTGGTTTAAGGTCAACATCTTCAATCCATTTTAAAAACTTACAATTTAATATTTTAGAAGGTGGATTGGTCTGAGAACATTCTGGCAGTGTGGGCCTCTCAAACAAGGCAGTGACTTTATTTAGGGAGTCATCAAAAGGAGCCCGACTAGCCTGATGCATGTGTGGTATACATAAAACAACAATAGATAAATTAATAAATAATACATTGTCAAAAGTGACCCCCACTTGTTCCTTCTCCATTCATTCAGGAAAAAGCCTAGATAAATAGATGAATCTTAATAATAACAAATGGGCCCGGAAGCTCAACAAATTCTAGCTCTGTCAGACAAACTGAATAAGTGAATTTCTGAGTCCAGTGCCCTACAACCAGTCTTCATAGTAGAGATTGCATTAGAAGGTGCACAAACATCAGTGATGAATACATTATAAATAAGGCTATGATTTAATCACGGGTATTTTTAGCAAAAGTCATGGACAGGTCAGGGGCTAGAAACAAAAAATCCCATGACCTGTCCACGACTTATACCATAAATACCCCTGATTGAATTGTGGGGGGGCCCACAGCACCAGCGGCAGTGGGGGGAAGCTCCGGAGGCCCCGCTGCCACTCTGGCTGCAGCAGAGGCGGGAGCCCCGGCCACCCCAGGACTCCTGCTCTGGGATCACTGCCCTGGCCGCCCCAGGATTGCTGCTGGGAGCCACCGAGTTGCTCCTGCTACCCCGGGACTGCTGCTCAGGTGTTTCCCGGGGCAAGCTGCACAGGCTGCTGCTTAGGTAGTCTCCGGGGCCAGCTGCCTGGGGCTGCCAGAGCAGTGGCCAGTACAGCTGGCCCTGGGGCCAGCCACACTGGCCACTGAAGAAGTTACGGAGGTCACAGGAAGTCACAGAATCCATGACTTCCTCGACCTCTGTGACAAATATGGAGCCCTTATCATAAATTCCTGCGTAAGAGGTATACACATGGACTTCCAAAAATGCATAGAATACTCACGGAGCTGACTGAGGAGATATCTGAGCCATTAGTGATTATCTTCAAAAAGCATGGAAGACGGGAGAGATTTTAGAGGACTGGAAAAGGGCAAATATACTTCCAGTCTATATAAAGGGAAATAAGGACAAC